TTGGGAATTTTTTGTTCTGCTGCCAATAAATGAAAACTGAGCAGCACAGACACTAAAGCTCTGTCTTTACTGCCTGTCCAGGGTCACTCCACTGCTCTTCCAAGACCCAGTGTCCACTGCAGCAGTGGGACACAGTTTGCAGAGCCACTGTGACTCCATCCTAGAAACCCCTCTCCACCCCCCAAAACCAGCCTTACCTTCTGTTTGTCCTTTCACTCACAACACCGAGTGTGCAGACTTGTGATGAGTGCTTAGAAAACCCAGAATCATGAGAAAAATCTGTCAAAAGACACTAACCCAGAATCATGAGAAAAATCTGTCAAAAGACACTGCAACCCTCTGTTGTGTTTTCCTTGTTTTCCTTCCAAGCTGTATTTATTTCTGTACCTGCAACTGCATGGCAGACTGTGGGATGGAGGAACAGAAACACGATGCTCTAGGAGAAGTTTCCTTCCACTTCCAGAAAAATGAAAATATGGTGAGGAAGTCACCAGCTACTGCAAGAGTACTAAAGGGAGAGAGACCACAGCCAAACCAGATTGCCTTTGAGTGGTGTGAGCACTAAAATGTAATTAAAGTCCTGTTCACAGTTCCATTGAATTTTCTCACTATGACACACTCAGCACCTCTGGCTCCTCGCTCAGGCTCTGAAGCCAAACCTTCCAAATTCCAGCAAGTGCCATTAAAACACCAAGGAATGTCTCATGGGAAGGTCACAGGCTTTCCAGGGCATCCCAGAACTTCCCAACAAACTGAGGAGAATCCTTTGCAGAGCATGGATGAGGTCAGAAAGCAGCAACAGCTCCAGCCACATTTCCAAGCAGTTCCTGGGCACGCCTTTGCTTCAAGGTGGTTCTGTCCCTACTGGAACCAGCTCAACCACAGCTTTCATCTCTTCTGATCCCCATTCCCTCACTCACAATGGAAAAAATGATTCTTCTTTAATTACTCTGCCTGTACAGTACTATGACTGTACCTTGATGCACAAAATGACCACATTTGAAAAAAAATTAATGAGCAAAACACAGTCTTGTGTGAATTCTCCTGTACAACTGGACAATTCCCTGGAAGAAGAGCATTCAACACTCATTTTATTTAGACTTCAGCGCTCTCCCAAAAAGCTGCCAGGAAAAAGTTCCAGCTCCAGTGTGCATGAATATGACAGATATAATCTTTAAAAAAAAAAAGACTAGAAAAATACTTTTAGTTCTAAGTTATGCAGTCAAAGCTGCTTTTGAGGCATTCAAATAGAATCAACAGTAACAGGTGATAAAAAAATCCTTATGGAATTCATTGCCAGCATTGGAAATGGGATGCAAGGAACATCGTAACACTGAAATAATGAATAAATTTGAGGGTGGTTCTCAAGTTTACTGACTCCAGTTTTATTTATCCACCAACTCCTTGTTCTTATCGAGGTACCAGAGCAGAGGAGGTGTTTATGGAGCTGAGGCCTAAGAGCTGAATGCTCCATCATTTCACCAGAGCAGGGTTTGAGGAAAATCATCTTACAAGCTTCTGCCTCCCCAGCAAATCCACCTCTGCGGGACTGACCGTGGATTTGAACAGCAAAGTCCCTGAATTCCACACAAACCTTGGAGAATTGCTCCCCAGAAAAGAATCCCGCCCCTCTGCTCAGCCCCAGGCAGAGCTCTGTGCCCAGCTCTGGGCTCCTCAGGACAGGAGGGACACGGAGATGCTGCAACAGCAACAGCACAGGGCAAATCCTCCCAGGAGGATGAAGGATGAAGGGAGTCTCTCTCTCAGGAGGAAAGGCTAAAGGAGCTGGGCATGTTCAGCCCCAAGAAGAGACAAGAGAGGGAACCTCATTAATGTGTATAAATATCTAAAAGAGGTGCCAGGAGGATGGACCAGGCTCTGCTCTGCATGACAGGAGGAAGGAGCAGGAACTGATGCTCACAAGTTCCACCTGAACATGAGGAAGAACTTCCCTGAACAGAGACCAGAGGGGGTGTGGAGTCTCCCTCCCTGAGGATATCCCAGAGCTGTCTGGACACAATCCTGTGCCCTGTGCTCCACGATGGCCCCTCCTGAGCAGGGAGCTGGGACCAGATGAGCCCCCGTGGTCGCTTCCAGCCTTCCCCATTCTGGGATTCTGAGACTTTTCCTTCCTGCAGTATTCCTTGTGTTATACAGAACTGCTGACAGCAAAAAAAAAACCAAAAAAATCTTGTTTAAACAGTTTCAAACAGACACTTCCCTTGGATACAAACCATTATCCAGTGTTCTGCTTCACACAGCCAAACACAGCAAGCCTGATGGTGTGCTGTGTTTCCAGTGAGGATTCTTCCAACACCGTACATTCACTTTCCACAGGGAGCAGGAAGGGATATGAAGCCCTGAAGCAGCAATTAAACTGCACCAGCCAGGGGAAGGAGTAAAGCAGCTGGGGGAGGGAGGTGGGTGAATCCACGGGGGCACAGAGGAGACACCACCATGTGCAGACCCAGCCCAGCTCAGCCTGGGAATGCCGCACACGGAGCTCCAGGGCCTGAATCCAGCCAGGAGCAGCTCCCACAGGCGTGTCCAGAGCATCTCTTGCGAGGAGCAGGTGAAGATTTCCAGAGTCCAGCAGGGAGGGGAGGAGTGAGGCCGCCTCTCCCAGATGAGGTATCTGCTAAGCAGGAATGACGCTGCCCTGGGGGACCCGAGGAACCTGCACAGGCTTAGGAGCGAGGAAGAGGCACCTCTGCGTCCAGAACTGAAGGCCAAAGGTGTTTCTTCCCCCTCTCCGTGGAGATGAGCCCCAAGGTTGCCTTGTGGGAGGAGAAAAGACTTGGAATACGGAATCACAAGAGGATCTCTTTGAAAAGGCACTAGGAAGAAGCATATAGTTGTAGGTTAATAAGGTTTTTCCTGTTTCCAATCACTGAGTGGGACAAAAAACTGTACAGTTTGGGGCTTTTAGAAAAAAAATGCTGCAGAGTTATATATATATTTTTTTTTTTAACAGCAAAAGCATAAAAAGAAAAGTAAAGCTATTTTCAAATTATTAAAATGCTGAACATGTATACAGCAAAATTATATTAAAAACAGCAGCAGACAAAGTCCATCCCATCACCACTGGCAAGGGACATGTAAAATGTTTATAAGGTTAACTATAAAACAATTTTACAACCAAAATATGAACAGGCCAATTCAAGTATATATATATACAGAATATATTAAAATCATATAAATTATATATTTATACAAAGGGCACAAATATAGCAAAAAGCTATAGTTGATTAAACAGAACTGAGCTTGAATGATCAATTTCATCTAGAGATGTTATAGATTTCTCCCAAATTCTTTTTTTTTTTTTTTCCTTTTAAACCTGGATAGATTGATACCTCAGATACCAAGAGTACAGAAAGCACAAAGAAAAAATACATCCCACAAATCAAAAAGTTATCACTACGTGAAATGAGCCTAACAGTGGGCAGGGTACACCTCATATGAAATTCTGATTTAATTATTTCCATAGCAAACATTTATCAGCTCTCTTAAAAAGTCACGAAATTTCAAGTGATCCACTTCAAATGTACCACCCTGGTGCACGTATTTGATTACATTTGAATGTTGTTTGATTTGCAAACATTTGGGGGAAAAAAAGAGATACAAACACAACTCAATCTGCGAAAGAAAAGGTGACAGATGGCAGCAAGTTGAAAAGTGAACAAAAATGTTCAGCTGAACTGGAAATGATGCTCTCCCTTCTACTGAAAATGCTTTAAAGTGAGCTTAAAAAATAACTTATTTTAAATTGCTTTTCTTTTATTTCCAATGTAACAGCAAATAACCACAGTGCACTGAAGCTCTTGAGAATCTAAACAGTCCCAGCTGTGGGCTTATATTTAAACACAGACTAAGTGCTTTCCTGAATTCAGGTTTATGTAAATGAATTCTGTACCAGCTGTACCTAAACCTCGTGTCATGCTGTGGCACCACCTCCTCATCACTGCAGTAAAGCCTGGACACGACTCTGGCTCCATCAGGGTGCCCAGAGGAGCTGTGGCTGCCCCTGGGTCCCTGGAAGAGTTCCAGGCCAGGCTGGATGGGGCTTGGAGCAGCCTGGGGTAGTGGAAGGTGTCCCTGGGCATGGCAGGGGGCTGGAACTGCTGAGCTTTAAGGTCCCTTCCAACAAAACCATTTTGGGAATCTGAGGCCTCCACACGCCCAAAGATGCTGTGTAAGGAGCACTGAGGGCGATCAGAGCAGAAATAAAAAGGCCAGACTACACAAAGACAGAACATCAGCTTAAACCCCAGAGCTAAGTATGGAAAAGAGTAAAGTGGTTTCACCAGATGCAGGTTAAATGGAGAAAAAAAAAAAATTAAAAAAAAAAAAAAAATCAGCCATCTCCCATACTTAATAGCCAGTGGATATCTATTACACTGAAAGGAAATCAATGCAAACAGGATTTCCTCAGTTTCAAGTAATCTTTGATGCCTTTTTGGCCAGCTGTGTTATACCATAATAGATATTTTAATAGCTTTTATCCTCTACACTTTAGGCAGCTAATTTTTCTCTTACGTATCCAATTATCTCTAGTGAACATTCACCTATGGTTGTCCACACATTCTGTATTTGCTCCTTGAGAAACTATTCAAGTTAAATTATATTGCAAATTAAAGACAGTTACATTCTGTATGTTCCTTCTAGATTTGAAAAATAGGTTTTAAAGGCTTGTCAAAGTTTAGAAGAAAAAACCTTTCCATTAAAAAATCTTAGCTTAAAAAAATCATTTAAGACACCTTTTTCTGATCCAGGGTACTAATAAAAAATTACAAATATACTACAATTTGACCAAGAAGACTCCATGAATATGCTGCTTTTGAGCATGCAACACCACTGATATCTGTCAAGTTCCAGGTATCAATGTATCCCAATTCCACCACGGTCCCTCCATTTCCTCATCGTTTCCCCCATCCCCACCCTACCACCCCTATTAATAACATTATAAAAAAAGGTAAAATCTAGAGTTAGTGGCAAAAATCTTCACAGTAAACCGTCAAAGGAAACTTTTATTGTGGTCATTGCCGAGCGATTTCTCAGTCGATGGGGCCCTGAAAGATGAGCTTGACGCACTTCTGCTCCCCGGAGAGCTGCGTGGCGCAGAACGGGCAGGCGGCGTGGAACGCGTGAGTCCCGTGAGGCAGCGGGATCTGGGACCAGTATTTGGCGGATTTCTCGGAGCACACGTGTCCACAGGGGGTGAAAGCGTGCGTGGGGGGCCCGGCGTCCACGTAAAACGCGGCCTCGCAGCCCAGCCACAGAGGCACGTAGGGGCCAACGGTTCTGCACATGGGGCACTCGCGCTCGTTGGCTTCCGTGTCGCTGCGGTGGCCCCAGTTGTGGTAGCCGTGCACGTGGCCGCAGCTGAGGTAGGCCCACGGCTGCTTCTCCTCCACCACGTCCTTGCGGTTGATGCTGGGGAAGGCCAGGGTGTTCAAGCCCACGGGGCACTGGGGCCTGGCGGCGTTGATCTCCTGCCGCAGGGCCTCGATGTGTTTCTGCGTCGGGGTGTGCAGGAGTCCGTCCGCCGTTCTCCACAGGAGCGTGGCCCCGCACAGGTCGATCAGGGAGCCGTCCTGCAGGATGTTGGTCTCGTTTTCTACCTGGTGGCAGGACACAAGGGGAGGCCGTTTAGCCTGACAGCTTTTACAGACACCGCATCGCCTTTCCCAGCATTAACCTCCACAGATGCCGCTTAATTTTGTCTTCTTGTTGTCCTGAAACCACCTCACCTCCTAACCTATATCCAGGATTATAATGAGTACTGCTCTCTTACCCTGTGCTTGTACAGGGGATTTGCATTTGCAGTTGAAGTACAAATTATTATACACAGTGGGCCCCTGAGCATGCATTTTTTTACTCCAATATTGATTCTCTGTGCCTTGGTCATATTTCAGTAAGTCCTGATAGACTGAAGAAAAGACATGCCATTCCTTGAGGGCTGCATTAGCAAATTCTCTCTTGGAAGTCTTTGTCCACATAGACTTGACAGAAGCTGCTCACACAGTAAAAAAAAAAAGTCCTTTTTGGACTAAAAACTGCTACCCAGGACAGGCCAGATACCATTTTTTTTCTGGGGTTGTGGCAAGGGTCAAGCATTTTGCAGAGGCATGAGCAGCACAGGTACCTGCACAGCTTAGCACTGCAGCAGACAGAATTACCAGTTGAATTTCTCAGGTGACAAATTTGAAGCCACGCAGGCTCAGCTTATGAACAATTACCCACCCCACTCATTAGGCCTTTTATTTAATGAGGTATTCCAAGCAAACACAGCCCCAGCCTGCACTGCCTAAAGGCTTCTCTCTGATTAAAAGCAGGTACTTAAATCATTTTCAAGGGATTATGCCAAATACACATTGTACTTGAGTGAAATATTCCTTATTTTAATGTCACAAACATATAAGCAACCCGTGCTTTTGCTATCAGTTCATTAATGATGAATATATATTAAAAAGGCTTTGTAAAATTGAAATTAAAAACAGACCTACTGCCTGGCTTTATGCACAGAAAGGATGCTGAAAATACCACTAACACAGAACAAACAGCCAAATACAAACAAATACATTAAGTAGGTCACATGAAATCATCACATCTGCCTAAGAATACTATGAATGACAACCAATTTAGCATTTACATTTTAATCCAGTTTAAATTCACAGATTAACTGTGGATCATCCTTGCACAAAACACCTCAGTGGTACAATACAGACTACAGATAAGAGGTCACCAGTGCAAAGTAATTCCAGCAGAAAAATGTAGTGTTTCAAGTAGAGATGAGAGAAGCCTTGATCTGATGCTCTTTTCAGATAATTCCCTCACAAACAGCAAAGCAAAAAGCTCCCTCATATGCAACGTGTTCAATTCATTATACAGCCTGCATTTGGTTTTATGAACCCAATCAACGAATACTGATCACATCAATACCAGTGTGCCATGCAATTTTATTTAAATGAGAATTCAACTCATTTTGGATGCAGGGAGGGGATTCATTTGTTTTGCTGTGCCTCTCTTTAGCAGCACTAAAAAGGTGTTTTGCTAACCACGTACAAAGGCTGCAATTGCCACATCATCTGTCCAGGTCCCCAGGCAACATCTGCCTGCCACCATCAGTGTGACAAAGCAATTTATGTCCTGCAGGGTGTCTGCTGAAAGCAGAACAGCCCAACTCCATTCCCCTAACTCTTTCATCATTCAGTTTTCTGCAAAGCCAATGGCAGAGCTGCAAAGTCAGTTCAGTGAACTTCTCTCCTAGTTTTGTGTGTCACAGGTCCCTGGCAGCTGAAATCTCTCACTTCTGGGAAAGGCAAAGCCCGTCCTGCCTCACAGGAGAAAACAGGAATATACTTCCAGGGCTGCTCTTATCTTCCCAGTGGCAGGTAAATCAAACAGAAGCTGCCTTACTCAAACTGCTTTTGCACAAAAGTGGACTCTTCTGGCAGTACTGCAAAAGGCAGCTCCCAATGCAGCAACTTCCAGACATGTCCCAGGAGAACATTTCAGAGATGGAGATTCCAGAGCAGAGTTTACAGAGCTTTTACACTCTGTGCTATTTCAGTTGGAAAAGTGGCAGTAGCAGGACATTAGGAGTGTTCTCCCATACAACCAGTAACAGAAGAGCAGAATCTGCTGCAACACACACACTCAGCTGCTTGCAGTGCCCACTACTCAGAGACAGTCACCTTGTACCTGCTGCCATTCCAAGCCAGGAAAACAACTACACCTTGATTAATTTTAGCTACTTACCAGCTTGCCCCTCTGCTGAGCAGACCTGGTTTCCCGGAGCGTGTACACGTCCCCACAGACGGAGATCTCCCGCCACACTCCGGGCTTGGACTCCTCCGTGAATCCTCCTTTGGGATGCATGACCAGCACCCCGTTGGTTGTCAATCCATCCATGTGGCCATCAGGGTTTTTCCACTTGGCTGCTTTTTCCTACGTGTGACAGTCACAGTGACTATCAGAAATACATCAAACCAACCTAAAGAAAACCCACTAACAGTTACTAAAGTGCAGCTTCATTGTTGAAGACAATTATGACCACGAGTCTCTGCTGGTGATAACTCAGGCACATAAACCTGTAGTTTCTACTCAACACTGCAGCTGGTGCATCAGAGTAATAAAAGTCTAATGACAGTACAAGTTCCCAACCAGTACAAGGAGATTTGGGGGCTTGAAAGCAACAGAATATAAACCAGAGCTTGCTCATACCATCATTATTAGCAGTACTTACACCAAGAAATATATTTTTAGACGAGTCAAAGCCGGCTGCAAAGATCCTTGCTGTGTATGGTGGGCTCCTGTCACAAACAATCCTGCAGGCAAATCGGGAGATGGTGCTCTGGGTAATCTGGGTTTCATCATTATTTTGATTTCCTGAAATAGTATCTGTTACTACAAAGTCTATGGGGCTTTCTGTAGACCTCCCAACCTGCAAAAAAAATTAAGATACTGGTATAACTAGAAATACCCAGAGAAATATGAAGTATTAAGGACACAGTTTTACCAGGTTAATATTTCTGTCTGCTGAATTTTTGGATGGCAAGATCCAACCAGAGATTAACATGTATTTCCACATTTGTCCTAGGCAGAAATCCATCACGGACATGGAATGACAAATTTTTGCTTACCACAAGGGATGTTCATGCTTGCTTGAAATAAATCAACACAGCTGATCAGTTTGATAAGAGTATTGTCACCAAAAAAAGTATTATCACCTTGCTGTTTCCTCATCCAACCACAACAAATTGCTTGCCACTACATTCTGTCAGTTAAGAAAATACTAGCTTGGATTGATGAGTTTAATTCACATTTTACAGTTCCAAATACGTTTGCTATGAAAATAAAGGACTTTTTTAGATCCAGAACTTGGTTATTTTTATATGTCATAACACAGAGCTACCCACCTTCATGTTTTCAGGATTTGTAGTCCCAGAAAGAAGAGTTTTCAGGCAAAACCCACCATATGATGAAATTTATTCCTAATAATGCACATGCATGACTAACAGAATTAAAAAACTTTCTTGAGTTGAGCAGAAATGAAACACATTCATCAGGAGACAGGAAGATTTTTCTGTCTTGACAGCTAAAAATTTTAAATTTTAAATCTGGAAACATCTGGGACAGAAAACTCATGACTGCATGGATGGAAGGATCTGACTGCCAGACAAATAGTGAGGCTTTATCAATATTTCTACAGGCAAATTAGTGTTACACCAACTTTGAGCTTAACTGGGAAAGTGGAGCTGAGGAACAAGAAGTGGAACAGAATATTAATTTTAGAGACACTTTGTGATCAAACTGAATTAGGAATACTCTTCACACAAAACTACCTTCAGGATCAGGTAGCTACATTGATATTAAATAACCTCCTCACTAAATGTGATCTCATTGTCCCCCAAGAAGTTCCATTCTGCTCAGATCTTGCTCTTGAAAGCCAGCTATGGGGAGCCATGTATGCTTCCATCATTAACAAACATCTCTGCAAACTAAACCTGCTTTAAAGAAACATTGTTCAAGAGTCAAGGAAATTAATATTATCCACACCTAAGCCTTGTCACGAGGGGATTGATAGAAATAGTGCAGGGATCTCTCCTGTACTTCTCTCCTGCTGAAGCTCTGCTTTGCAGGGTTTCACTCTAACACATGTCAGAATTCGTGTCTCCAATGACACATCCAGTTACTGCCTCTGTATCACAGGGCTCAGCACAAGCAGAAAATGGGATGAGCTCCCTGCACAGGAAATACTCAACGAGGCCTAATCAAAAGTGTACATTTCAATTCCTCACAGAAAGTATCTACTAGAATACACAGGAGACAGAGTTTAGAAACTATTTAATATGGGATATTTCTGATTTATGTAACTTGACAACTTGAAGCTAAATCTTACAAAGCAATATCCCTCTTCCTTTTACAGTATTGTTTCTACCAGGCTTCTATTTCCTATCCAAAGCAATTCCTGCACTGAGCAGCAGCAGCAGCAGGAACCTCATGAATAACTTTTGACTATTCTCAATGTATGTGGAGTCTCTTAAAGGATAGTCAATAACAAATATGAAATTAATTTGTTCATAACAAGTTTCTGCCTCTTGCAGTCTCTGAAATAGATCATTGTCTCCAAGCTTTTAAATGCAATTAGAGAAAAAATTGCCTCATTTTTCCTTAAAGGATGACAAAGCACACAAATGTGTGCTCCTAGCCTTTCTTGCATCCCACTAATCACTCACCATGAAATTCAAATTTGTTTGGATATAACCATTAAGCTCTACAAACAAAGCATCTATGTGCTTCTTTAAATCTCAAGAATGATATGTATTTTGCATAAACATTTAAGTACTTATCTCGTTTGTGACACATGTCTATGCAAAATCAAATATTTCAAGTATTTGGTTTTCTTTCCTTTTCCAGTTGAGAAAGCCTTCTAGAGGATCAGTCTAATGCACTGTGCCACTTTTCAGCATTTGAATTTATTTGAAGTGGCCTTCAAACTCTGGCAATTTTCTCAAGCTCTGTATTAAATCAAGAATTTGATTCTGAGATTACCTGAAAAGCAAGTGCCTAAGGAATAAATGAAAAACTTGATGCTGTCAACATCCACCCTCCAAAACTTTGAACTCATCTGCTGTTGCAGTCACTACAGACCAAGACCATTATTCAGAGCTGCTCTTTACACACTTCATTACTCATTTTTCTCCACAGCACAGAAGATTTTCTTCTTTCTAGCAAATTTCAGGCTGTATTTTGGGACCCTTCTTGTTAACTGTGTCATATGATTTCCCTAAGTTACTTCCAACAAGAACTCATCAATGTTCCAGGTGCTGCAGAGGCAGCGAGCGTTGTGTCCTCTGCAGGTGATTGTTCAAAGCTGTGAGAGGCAGGCAGTCCCTGCTTTGCTGCTGTCAGTAAAACACTGCTCCTGACAAGGAAAAGCCTGCCAGCAGAGTATAACAGCTGCAGGTTCTTGGGCTTCGACAGAATTTCACTCTGGTGAAAGCAAGAATTGGATTCTGCATCTTCTGAAGGGCCATTCTTCAGGAAAAAATCAATGCTTCGTATTGAATGTACCTGCTTCTTGTATAAACTTGTAGTTATTTAGGGTAGGAGCTGCACATTTTGGTTCTTTATAATGGTATGAACAGATATAATCAACCCATTCTCACCCCATCAAACCACGAAGGAACAGGTCTGAATTCACCTAATGCACCATCAACAGAATGGTTAAACTCTGAAGAAAATCTTCATTTATAGCAGCACATGGATGCTGAAGCACAGAGTATGGGGGATGCCAGAGGAACACAATTGTACATTCTTTTTGTAATTAAATGATGAAATCTGACCTGGATGTCACTGAGACAAAGGTGCATAGCAGCATTTGCACAAAGATTTCATAATATAGTTACATTTAAAAAAACCAAAACTACAAACAACACAACAGAACAACAGCTCAAAAAGCACAATAGTGGGAATAAAGAACAAAAAGCCACATGATTTGCCCAGGATAATACATGTTAACTGCAGTCAAAGTGGGGCTACAAGGCTCAGGATAATCCTGTGGTCCTGGAATTATCATCCCCTTTTCAACCTCCACACCCTACACAAGCCAGTAACACACATTTGAAAGAAAACATCAAACTCCAACAATTGTCTGACCAACAATGAAATTCTATTCTGTGGATTAACAGACATGAATTTTGTCACCATGTACCACAGTGCTGCACTAAACACCCTCAAGTAACTTTTCTCCAACAGATTCATGAGACCAGTTAACACCTTAAATATAAATAGTGGAAACCTCTTCAACTGCTCTGGCATTGGGAATTATTGCCACAGTCCACCAGACCACTCTGTTTCCACTCTCCCCAGCATCAGCCCCTGCAGGCCATGATGGAATTCAGTCCTCAGGAAACAGCCAGAGAGCAGAAATCTGAACCAGGACACAGCACCAGAGGTCACAGCAGGACCCCCACACATCCAGAGACTGAAATGGTGTCTTATCCCCTGCAAAAAAACTGTACCCATCACTAGGACATTATGCCATAGACAGACATCTCTTTATTACAATCTGCCCAGAAAAAGCAGCTGTTCTGCAACTCTTTATTCATTTTTTACTGTACTCTTGAAGGGAAAAAATCCAGCTTTCCAAAATGGATTTTCAAAATTTATATACAGGGAAAAAATTTTACTGTAGCTACTCAAGAGCTAAACAAGCATCACCCAGTAACTCCACTGGATGGGTTACATTTTTCTTTCACTAGTCAACACAGAAAAACCTATTTCAGTTCACCCTGGCTGTTCAATCCTTCATTCTGCAGCAAATGAATAAGACTGGGTTTTAATCAATTCCTATTTGGACCTAATAGTTTCAGTCACACTGGGAAAATTTTTATATAGAAAAAAACACAGAAGTCAAGAGAAGCAACAACACCTCCAAAGAGTTATTTCCTCTCTGCCAACAGCTCTCAATTGCTGACCCTTCCAAATATGAAAGGTTGAATGAGAGGGATAACAATTCCTGGTGAGATGCTCTAATTAGAAGTCAAAGAAAACACAGACCTGGACCAGTCCAGAATGAAAAAGGTTGTTTGGCATGTTTGGGTTCCCCAAGTTTGAAGTCTAAGTTCACACAGAATTTCTTCTCTCTTATTATACATAAAAATAACCATGGCACGAGAAAATCACTCAGGTTAGCAGAATCTTAAATGATACAGAAAAACAGAAATGCAGGCAGAGGATACTGAGCACATGTTGGACAATAGATGGGAGCTTAGAGAAACTCAGCCCAGCCCCCTACACCACCTGAGAGGTCTGCACACTCCTCAGGAAGAGTTTATTATTCATTTATCACTGATTTATCTCCTCTACTGCGCAGCTCCTTTTATCTTCCTCTTTCTCCATCCCATGTCCTACTCCTTCATTTTTACACCAGCTACATGATTAACTGGAGGGTGGTGGGTGTAATTCTGTGTTCATTCATGAATCCAAACAGAGCACTCATTTCTCTCCAGTACTGTTTGTCTTTGGAGAAAAGGCAGAGTACAATTAAAGGAGTTAAGTCAGTAAGAATATAACAGATGCTGGTGTGGGTTTGTAAAGAGCAGAATAATGTAAAATTTCAAAGCCAAGTCAGACTGTGGAAATCCCACAGGTCACAGAGAATACCCAGAGGATAATGCAGAACTGGTTTTTTTCTAATGTTGCTTTTAAAAAACAATCCAAGTATTTTAGAGCCTTACCTGAAACATGTCTGTATCTTTGTCATGAATATATTCCACTACAACTGTCTGGCTTCTGGATAAGGTGAAAGAGATACTGTGGTGACCTTTTGAGCTGATTGCCTGGTGGATTTAAAAAAAAAAACAAAAAGATATCTATTACACACAAAAACTCTGTAATCAAATTCATTTTGCTACATAAACACCTTTGCTATGATCAGGAAAAGCAGTGTATCATAACATGTTATTACAAGGTTGGGTAAACACATACAATAGGACTTCTTTTGATTCTTTTTAATGGAAAATCCCAAGCTTGTTTGCTTGTTTCTAGTTCAGAAGTACCCAATACTTACCATTTTTACACTTTAAGACTCCAAACACCTTTCTTCACTGAAATTATATTAAATTCCTAACCCTTGTAGCAACTTGTGCCCTAGCAGAGACTTGGAGTTGAGGGAGTTTTGGCTTGTTTCTTTTTGAAGTAAGTGAGCAATAGAACTGATTCCCAGTTAAAAGCCAGGACTTGAGGTTAAGCAAATTTCTGGTTTTATCAGAAAGAGCCCAGCAATTTTATATAACTGGTGACAAAATCTAAACATTTTCAGTGTGGTTTTCCCCATTAAAGGGTACTTTTCTTCCTACCTGTCAAAGCAGACTGGTGTCTACATATCAAAGATTAAATAGGATTTCAGTATTTAAAAGAAGACAAGAAGAGGACAGCTCCTGTCTTCTGTTTTATTTCACCAAGACTAAGGGAAATGAGCTGAGAAACTGAATCTATTGGCTAGCAGGGAAATAGATGTAAATATAAAGGTCCATATAACCACACACAATTCTGGAAGGTAATGACTGTTACTGTTCAGAAAACACTTTGCAGACACTTAAGCAATGAATTAATAGGTTAATTAAGGTTTTCTCCAGTTTCCAGTTAAGGGGATAATTTTCTCCAAGTGGTTCTCTCACTTGTTCCATTCCTTCATTCTGCTTTTCACCTAAAGAATTCACAGATAGAGATGATTAAACTAAACAACTAAATATATTCTACTCATCTGCCTGCCATCTCGCACAAAAGCCTAAATTATGCCAAAGCTCCATCAATTATTGAACAAATCATTAAAAATCCTTCTGAATGCTGGAGGTATTAAAAACATCTATGTGCATACTAAAAGCCTGCTAAGGGTTAGCAAGAGTATTTGATACAGAATTATTAAGAACATGTAATGGAAGAATTGTTTTTTCCAAATCTCATGCATTTACAAGACAAAGCTTTTACAATGTGCCTCTTGCTGGAAGCTCCAGCACCTGGTCTAGTGGAAAATGTCCTTGCCAATGGCACAGAAGTGGAACTGGATCATCTTTAAGGTCCCTTTCCATCAAACCATTCTATAATTAGACAAGAGGACCTTTCCCAGTACTTCTTTTCAGCAATAAAGCTTTTAACAAAACTTGAAGACAAAGTCTAAGAATTGTTAACAGCTGAAAAGTGATGTAAACACACTTGGTAATCAGTAATAGCCAGATTCTGAATTTCACAGATTATTTTCAGTGTTTTGTAGTAACCACTACAGTGGCACACAGTTGCAAGAACAAATGGCACCAAGATGCAGTTTGGATTAAGTCACTAACACGCTGTGACCTGCCAGGACACTGAGCTGTGGTCTCAAGTTTTTTCTCTGTGCCTGTTTGACAACTAAGAAAGGGATCTCAAACCCTGAGCAGGTCTCAGGCACTCCTAGAATATGAAAGAAATAAAGTGATAAACAGGAGACCCTTACACCTTAAGTTTAATATAGCAATAATCAATTCATACATCATCAGATACCACCATTTCAAACATCAGAGAGCAACAGCTTTCATACACAAGATTTCACTCATTGCCACAAAACTCTGCTGCAGCTGGAATAGAGCAGAGGACAGGCTGTGAATGTGACAGTCCTGACTGCAGCTCCTGCCACTGCGCAGCACTGGCCACCAGCACCCAGGAAAATTCCTGGGCAGGGATGTGTACCCCAAGCTCACTCACACTCGTGTCACACAAACTTCTGGATCACATGGAAGCTTTGGTGAGAACCCAAGCTCAAAGTTTTAAGGTCTGATGGAAAAAACACAGAGGGAAATGCAAGGATTTCCTGAATTACTGAGTAAGGTTGTGCCCTACGCCTACAGAGCTCAGGGCTTAGATATATTAATAATACTGACCAGGGTCAGTGTGTCCTCTGAAATTCCAGGGTAGGACATAATCTTCTTTTCTGTGTGTGCTTCTTTCCCCTCCCAGCTTTTCTTCCCCATATACTTCTCCTCCTCTTTGTTTTCCATTATTTATATCCAGTTATTTTCAGTGAAGAAATGCTATATTTAATTTCCTGGAACTGTGTAATAATTTTTGGGGAAAGCCAATAAGGTTATGAGAAATATTTCAATTTGTGTGCTTTCACAGGCTACTCTGCACCAACAGTTGCTCCAATTCAGACACTTTACAGGTATTTTAAGCACTGGTCTCCCAACAATTGGTCACTTCCAAGTCAAAAAAGTAAAAAAAAAAAAAGTGACAAGTAACAGTGTTTTAGGAACTACACAAAACAGTGGAAGACTCCTAATAAAACACTGTTGTGAGTGGAATGCAGAGACAGGAAAAATCATGAAGGATTTTGACTGCTTGAGGAAATATAGAACCACACTACTACAAGTCCCAAAAGAGTCTGGAGACTGATTGCACAAATCTGGGTTTTTTGCAACCAAAATAGTGAGTTTGCCTTTTTACTGCTTTTAGCATTCAAATTTCCAGACTTGTTTTTCCTGTCAGGAGGATTCCCACCCCAAAACCCCTTGATGCTGTCACATAATTGCCCTGGTATAGCAACTGAAATCATGAGAAAAGCCCTGACCCCCACAAGAATTACAACAGCTTCACAAGTTCCAGCAGATAAATTCAGAGTTTCAGGTTGGAGAACACCAAGTCCACCTTCCAGGCAGGAAATAGGTCAAGGAAGAACAAGAACCTGGCACTAAATGTTACCTCTGTCTCTCCACTTCCACTCCAAAGCTGCCAAGATCCACCAGGGCAATGCTAGCTATTTTCAAAGCTTTTTCTTAGAATCCACTAAGCTTTTGAGTGAGTGGAACTGTAGAATCATTTTAGTTTTAAAACACCTTTAAGATCATCAAATCCAACCATGAATCCCAGGGTTGTGGTTTCACCTGAGTAGTCATGGAAAGTAAATCTTCCTTCAGGCACTTCCAGCATTTTGGGCTCCTTTACTCTTCCCTGTGCTCACTTTGAGCAGTTTGTTCCTATTTCTCAGGTTCTTGAAAGTTTAATGAAAATTATCAATTGAACCAGAAAAAAAAAAAAAACCAAAAAAAAACCCCATCCTGAATTAGTTTCCAACAGATACAAACTGGAAAAAACCTTGCTAATAACATCCATAGCCTGAGCCTACCAAGCCAGTCCAAAGCATGTGGCTCCAGGCTGGCCATAGCACATCCCACCTCTTGTCCAGTGGGAATGTTGGTGGGGAAACACAGGCTGGGTGAATTCAGCTACCTGTAGCTGTTTTATACATTTAAATGTCTCAAGGTGTCGAGTTCAAGTAACTCCCTTTGGAGGAAACACAGAGCAAAGCAAAGATGAACTGACAAAAACCCTGGGGAGGAACAGGGGGAACAAAAAGCAGCAAGAGATTTTTCCAGAATAATTCCACTGTTAGTGACTGTGTCCACAGCAGGGCTGAGGGATTTTTAAAAGTCCAAATGCCAAACAAAAGCATTAAGGGAAGCCTGAGTGCCATATTCTACGTGGCACAAAGGGACAGATTTGCCCAGCACGTTTTCCAAGACAGGGCTCAGGTTTGCACAGCAAATCCATCCATATCCATGGGGTTTCCCAGATGGAAGCTCCAAACCTCACTTTATGCTGAGTCTGCTCTTACAGTGAGCAGGAAGATTCCTCCCTATTGCTCCAGGCAAACCCCACAGCTCCCCCCCACCACCTCAAGATTTGTGCTCTGGTGATTTTGGATCAAAACTGCCCAATTTTAACAGAGACTGAAAGCAGAAAGCCCATGAGCTCACAATAATATGGACCAAACAAATGTTTCTTTTTTTTTTTTCCTTTTTCATTTTTCAACTTTGCTAGTAGCTCAAGTTTCCAGTTATATCCTTCCTGCTGTCTGGAATTACACTTGGCCTTGTTGTTTTTTTTTTTCCCCTGCCTCCTTATACACACTTTTTCATTCTTGCTCCTTTCTTTCCGTTTTGAGAACAAAACCTCGTTCCAGCACTTTGCCCTCACAATCAAAGCAGCAGCTAAAGGCTATGACTTACAAATCTGTCAGGTCTCAGAGGAGCCAAGATCAAATAGAGATCAAACAGAGTCTGCTTTCCCAGCAGCAACACTGCAACTCTGCCAGCCCCTGGAATATCTCAGTCCATCTGAATTCTTTGCTCTCCACTCACCCCCCTGGAAAGGTTGATGCTATCGGTTTTACCATCATTTCAAAGAGTGAGAAAACAGAATTCCCTCACCCCATGTAAAGTCACCTCATAGATAAAGGGAGGAGGAATATATAAGGGTTGTATTTAAAACCAGTGTTTCTTAGTGCTCTGCTTTTTTAGCAAAGGTACAGAAAAAGGAGGGAACAAAACTAGAACTTAACAAATCTTCAGCAGATAATCCCCAAGAGCAGGAATGGCTCTTTAGTCAGAATTTCCACCTTTTTTTCCTCCACTGAATGTACATCTGTGCTCAGCCAGATGTTCTCTACCTGGGCTCATGTCCTGATGTGCCAAAGCCCTGCACACTGACAGTGCTGCTCACTGCCCTCAGTCACCTCCAGCCCCAGAGTTCAACAACAGGTCAGGAGCTCACAGCACCATTACATCAACTTAACACTATTAAATCAAACCTTCCGTGTCAGGAGCGTGTCAATGAACTACAGAAGCGGATCCCAAAATTCTCAGAGCCTTTAGGCTGCTGCTTGCAAAGCTTGCAGGGAACAAGGCTAATCCACTTCTAGAAATAGAGATTTTATTGCTTCCTCCTGGCTTGGAATCCATGTTTCCGAGGAATGAAAAAAAAAATTAAAATCTCTGCATTTGGAAATTAAAAATTAACCATTCCCTTG